TATAGCCACCCTGGCTCGCCCAATCTTCTTGTCCTACTTGCTAGGGTTTAGGGTTTAGGGTTTAGGGTTTCCTGAAAATCTTTGGTTCCCTCGCCACCCTCCTGTACCACCCCAGGTTGCCCGTTAATCAAGGTTATTTGGGAATATTTAAGGTTAGTTCAGGTTAATGACAGAATGGAAAGCCTAGAGGGGCTAGTATCTTGGGGGTGGCAAGGGGAACCCATGACAAAAGCATCAAGAACTGAAGGCTTTCCATCCCGACTTTCCAGCAGGGCTCTTTGGAAATCGATGGAACTCCCAGCAGATGGTTCAGGATCAGGGTTTTCAGGGTACAGGGTGTGGTGCTTAGGGTGTAGGGCTTTGTCAACAGCAGGGCCCCTTTTCAGTAGTTAGCCCCAGCCAAGGCAGTCTTTGGCAAACGGATCCCCTCCCCCACCGCGGCATGCTATGAAGTACTTGGACTCTTGGGGTGGGGTGGGGGGTGGGCTGGGTGGGGGCTTTAGATTTGGGGGGGAGGGAGTCCTATGTTTTGAACCTCATGTTAGGTAGGGTCTTTGTAATGTTGCTTGGCCGAGTGTACATCGCGTTCGGTTTGAAAGTCAGTGAACGTACATAATCGGTTGTGCATCTGAAGGAAGTAGAAGTACAATTTTACCCCTAAACCTTACCCCTAGAACCCTAAACCCTGAACCCTAAACCCTAAACCCTAAATCCTAGAACCCTAAACCCTAAACCTTAAAAAGCATGCAAAGTCTCGACTCCAAACCTTTTTAGCAGGCTTCTACCTTGACACTGCCGAGCGCCGATGCCATTGGTAGCCTGGCCGGAACAATAATAAGTAGTAATACTAATAGTAGTTAGTAGTAATAACAATACGGTGGATACAAAACATCCTGCATGACCCTAGGTACCTTATACCTTTGGAAATATGGGATGACTGTAGAATAGAGTCATGCAGGATTTTTAGTATCAACAGTAGCAACAATATGCATGCTCATTTTACTTACTTCCGGGGATCTCGAGTTATGGGCTTTTGCTGGAGACGCTCCGAAAACAATTCGGGGATTCTGAGTGTACATTGGGGACCCTGACTTTCACCCATGGCCACTCGCATACAACATCGTCTTAATCATGCTGACCTCGCTGGTAGGCACGGTGAGCTTGATTAGTCTGCCGCTATTGACAGTGAGAGTCCCGCATGACCCTAAGTAATTACCCTGAATTTTGGGAAGTGCAACCCTAAATCCTAAACCCTAAACCCTAAATCCTAAACCCTAAGCCCTATACTATGGTATACGACGGTCATGCAGGATCCTTGGTGTCAACGGTATCCCTCTACAATCCCCACATGAGCTACAGTCTAAACTCCTTTAAGTGGGCTATACAGGGGGTTTTATAGGGAGTATTATAGGGCTGATTAAGGGGGATACTAGGAGTTTAAATTATTGCTCACATAGCCTTGGTTTGCATTTCGTTTTCCATGCTCTTTTCCATTTGAGTCTTCGTTCTTCTTGTCATGCTAACGTGAACCGAGTGAGTCAGTTGAGAACGCCGCCATATAATGAGGATCTCAAGGTTTAGGGGTTAGGGTTTAGGACCCCTTGCAACATGGTTCCCAAAACTATGGATTTCATTCCCAATAATGGAGAAGCAAATGGAAAAGAAAAATGACGTTGTTTATAAGGGTTAGGGTTTCCCAAAAATTAGGGGTGCCTTTTAAAGGGTTAGAGGGGCTATACAGGGTTATATCGTGGTGATACGAGATTTAGGTTTTGCGGGCTAAGGTTTGCCAAGATGAGGTGTTTTTTTGGATTCCACATAAGGTATTGGGGGATCTATGTTGGGGTTCACTTTATTTATGGAAACCAACATGTTTTTGTGAATATGTAGACCTTGAAAAAGCCAAACCTCTAAACACCTAAACCCACAAATTTTGGGTGTGCAGATCAGTGGCATGCAAGTGGTTGAGGTGCGCGCCCTAGAACCTCAAGCCTGGATCCCTAAACCCAAAATCCTAAACCCAAAATTGTACGCCCCATAGAAGAAATCAGAAGCTGTTGAGGCGTTGGGACCGTTTTCAACGCCTGGGCTGTGGCAGGTCCTGCAGTTCACGAGGCAGATTTGGCAAAGAGCTGCAAGGAATAAATATGAGCTAAAGTCTAAACTCCTTAAAGGAGGTTATGTAGGGGATTATATAGGGAACTACTGCAGCGGTTATCAAGCTAGGACTTTAGAATATATCTCATATCGGTACTTGTCCGGCTTGTGCGTGCCTCTTTTGGCCCGCTATGAGAAGAATCCTATTTCTGGAGCAAAAAGGGGTTTTCATTCTTGAGCCACTCTACTATGATGCAAAACGGAGGTTTGAATATGGAGTTACTTGTTGTTTACAAGTCCCCATGACACTGAGAAGAGTTTGATTCTCCATTATTGAGGCACTATCCCTAAACCGTGAACCCTAAACCCTCAACCTGACAACTGAAACCTTTTGAATCCTAAGCCTTCAGCGCTAAACCCTAAATCCTAAGCCTTCAACCCCATACCCTAAACCCTCAACCCTAAACCCCATACCCTCAACACGCATTTCTCATCACTGGCAGGCCTGGGCACCAGCATGGAGTATCCTGGCTTTGATGCGAAGCAGAGGCCTGAGCTTCAAAGCTTTGGAAACAGGGTTTAAGGGTTAGGGTCTTGGGATTAGGGGTTAGGGTTTTGGAGTTCGGGTTTAGGGCTTGGGATGAGGGTTTAGGGTTTAGGGTCTTGGAATTAGGATATAGGGTCTGGGGATCAGGGGTTAGGGTTTTGGAATTAGGGGTTAGGGCTTGGGATGAGGGTTTAGGGTTTAGGGTCTTGGAATTAGGATATAGGGTCTGGGGATTAGGGGTTAGGGTTTTGGAATTAGGGTTCAGGGCTTGGGGTCTTGGCATTCGGGTTTAGGGTCTTGGGATTAGGATTTAGCGTCTTGGGATCAGGGGTCTTGGGATTAGGGGTTAGGGTCTTGGGATTAGGGCTTAGGGTTTTGGAATTAGGGTGTAGGGATCAGAGCTTAGGGTTTAGGGCCTTGGGGTTTGGGGTTCAGAGTCTAGGGGGTTCAGGGTTTCAAAGTTTAGGGCTCGGGGTTTCGAGGGGTTCAGGGTGTTCGAGGCTGAGTACCTTGGGTCATTCCCCATCTGCAGGACCGTTTACCACCCTAAACCCTAAACCCTAAACCGCTAAACCTTAAACCCCTAAACCCTAAACCCCTGTTTTAGGTAGGAGTGCTAGCGCACCTGTAGTACAAGCCCTCGAAGGAGCGCTGCTGTGATGGGGGAGTGAAGCGCTGAATGATCAAAGCATTGTTGCTATGATCGCTGCTACTTTTTTCATGACACCATTACTTTCATTGCTACTATGATTAATATTACCTAGGGGGAGGGATCTCCATATCGTTTGTGAGGCATGTTCCTTATTTGAGGAGTATCGGCCTCCCTGTCCTGGTAAGTGCCAATGACATTTCCCTGAACCTCTTGCAGGATAAGACTACATTGTGACTAGACATCATACCTCAGCTCCTCTTTGGGAGCAATGACGGATCGCATTATGCTGGGTATATCAGGGACCGTTGTTTGAAGCGAGCAAAGATGCGATGCTTCCTGTTCGATTTGATGGTAGAACTGCTGCAATCCGAAAGCTCGTGTCTGCGACAACGATCCGAGCATCATGAGGGTCTGCAAAGGAGTCCCCTGTTTCGAAGCATAGCTCAGCAGCTTGTGGCAGTATAGGAACTACCGGCATCAGCAGCAACAATGAACCAACATATTCACAAAGCCCGGGCGGGCACAAGACCTTGAACCCGAGCGTTGTCAACAGAGATCCGCAGCCCGAAAATCTAAACCCCCAAAACCATCAACCCTGAACCGTGATCTGCAGATGTCCTCCTTGATGTGCTGGCGTTGAATGCAGCCGCTGTGTTGCCGCGCTGGCAGCGTGCCACATCGCTGCTGGCGGCTTTTGCGGCCAGGGGGGTGAGGGAGGGTAGGACAACTTGTAAATGTTGACACAGTGGATGGAGGAAGTCTTGCACCACCCTGCGTAGCGTACCTCGACGACAGCGGCAGCGACGGCTAGGTCATCATGATATGAGGGTCATACTTGACATCTTTGCAATCAGCACAGATACTTACGTCACGATTACCCAGAATAGCAGCAATGCAACCGTAGATTTTCATTATATAGGTTAGCACACTTGTAGCATTCATGATCGGGACGTGTGCTTTGAGATTGAGTCTCAATCTCATCTCAGAGATGTTCTCCAAGCTAGATCCTGCAAGGCCGCAATTTCTGACAAACAGGTGAGTAGCATTTTATTTGGGGATACTATGGTACCCAATATAGAGTAAGATTATATCCTCCTTTTGAGGTATGGTATTTTTTAAAAGGAATATAATCTTACTGGGTTTAACCACCAAAAAAAACGCTACTCAGGTGTTCCCAGGTTCAAAATGAGCTGCAGGGCTTAGGGTTAGAAACATGAAGTTCTCAGGGGTTTGGGTTTAGGGAGATCCCTGTGGAGGCTCTACATGTGCGCCCGAACTCGAGCAACCAGGCAGCTGGTGAGGATCTGATTGCTTCAGCCGCGGAACCTCATACTCCAAACTCTGAAGCCTTCGCCACCTGGTAGTTTCCCAAACTAGGGGGACCCAAATCAAAATCCCCAAATGCTATAGTCCTCATTGAAGCTACCCCAACAACGTGCCCTTATTTTGGGAAAGCCTAGTGCCCTTGAACCACTATATGAGCCATAGTCTAAACTCCTTACAGGGGGTGTATATAGGGAAAATATATTGAGGAATAGTAGGGCTTAGATACTGACTATAGCTCATATGATCTCAGTTTACATTTGATTTTCCATGTTCTTTTCTCTCCACTATTCCTCAATTCATAGCTGACCACCCCATCCCTATGTAACCCCAATTGTAGACTGCCACTTTGGCAGGGGCAGTGCGCAAAGAAGCGCTCAGGTAGTTTGGCAACCGTGCTCTCCGCCCTTACAGACAGAGCACTGTGGGCCGCTCCATGAGTTTGGCAGTTCTTACCATTGGTTAGCTGGGAATGAAAGAATGGAAAGAAGATGGAAACCACTCTAATGGGTTACATAGGGACTACTACAAGGATCCATTCCTTCATTCCTAGCTAGCCAAAGGCAAGTCTTTGGGTCCAAAGATTCCAAGGCATTTTGGAATGTCTACTACTTTCGGGTTTTGGGCTTAGGGCTGTGGATGGAGGAAATCTAGCACCACTTAAGATCACCAATTTTCCGACATTTTTGGTGTATAGGCTATAATTACTAGACGGCGCAAGACTTTCTCCGTCCACAGCAGGTCAGAGCGACATTATGAGAAGTATGATTCCAGTATGGGCAATCAGACTGGCTGGACGCAGCATGTTGGGAGGTGAGAAACAGGGTTTAGGGTTTAGGGCCTTGAGACTTTGAGACTTGCACTTATTTGATGTGGGAAACTACCGAGCTCCAGGTGGAATCCCTGCTGATGTTAAGGTAGCCTGAGAAGCGTCTCCAAACTCCGCACGAAGGGCTCATCAGCGTATTTTTCCAATCTCGAGCCGGAAGGGCCCCTAAACCCAAAACTCAGAATCCAACAAGTCTAGAACCACAGGTAGGTCCCTTTGAAAGGACAGTAATCTTTGCTAGATTGCTTTTAGGGTTTCAGGATAGTTTCAGGAAGGGTAAAATACATCAAAGCCCCAATCGCGAAGTCTATACCTGGACAGCTGAGGGCCTGTCAAGAGCAGGTATAAGTGATTATTTACGGTTAGTACCCCTAAACCCTAACCCCTCAACCCTGAACCCTAAACCTTTCTAAGTCCCCGGGCTTCTTCTAAGCAGAATCGACCTGCTAAAGGTCTTTCATTCCAAGCACGTGAGTTGCAGTCACCACTGACAGTTCCTCTTTTTATCATGCTAGCGTCGATCCATCTTTTTAATGTCATCCCATCCCGGCTCGCAAGAACACCGAAAGCCAAAATGATCTGCAAACCCTAAACCATAAACCCCAAGCCCTAATCCCTAAATCTGAAACCCCAAGCCCTAAACCTAAAACTGAGCCAACCCTAAACCCTAAACCCTAAACCCATTAGGAAAGAGCTCTTGATTTCATCTCCATACCTTTCGAGACTTCGCCAGTCAACGCAGGCCGCCCTGAAGCTGAAGCCGGGTACTTCCCCCCCCAACACGCGGTTTAGGTTTTAGGTTTTAGGGTTTAGGGTTTAGGGTTCAGGTTTTAAGGTTCAGGGTTTAGGTTTTAGGGTTTAGGGTTTGGGGTTTGACCCCCTCAATGCCCCAAATGTTAATTTTCCTACTGTTGATAGACCGAACGCCACCCGCAAAAGGATCCCGTTCTTTTTGGACCCCCCCCAAGCCTTAAAACCTACGCCCTCAACGGTAGACCAAGGTATGGGGCCCTTGGTTAGGTGTGAAATGGGGGGGGGTTCCCCAAATGTTGGGGTCTTATTTTGGTACCCCTAGATGTTAAGTGCCGCAATACAGTCTATAACCGAAAAGGGCCTACAATTTTGAGAACAACCAAAATAGTGGTATTTTGAGAAAGAATATGCGAGGAAGCCAGTACAGTTGTCATTATCTCTTCCCTAAACCCTTAGCCCTAAATCGTGGGGGGCCCTAAACTGTAATCAGGGTTCTTAAGCACCATCCTTGAGCACAAACGCTTGCAGCCTTGCCCACATCTGAAATCTGAAGCCAGTGACCTTGAAGTTTCCTTAGCATACGAGCCCTGGACTAAACTTGTTGTATATCCCTGAAATAGGTCCCCCCAAACCCTATATAGTCCCCTATAGGTCCCCCCCCAAGCTAAATTTAGTCCTCAGCCCAGATCCTAACTTGCGAAGACAGAAAACGCAGCATAGTGAGGAAGAAATGTTAAAAAGGCAAACTCTGAACACCACCCCAGAGAGGAGATTCAAGTCATGGTCTGGGTAGGCCCCTCGGATATTTGATATTTTCCCTAATGGCTTTAATAGGGGACCCTATATCCAAATGTTTTTCAAAGGGTTTTAGGGACCAACCCAGTGGTCCTGACCTTGGTTCTGCACATTCAGTGTTTTGGACATGCTTTGCGTGGAGCTTGCGAACTCCAAACCTGAATCCCCAAAGCTCGTGCCCTTACGCCCTTTCCTACATGCTAACACCTCAGACTCCAAGCTGATCTTGAGTAGATCAACATCTCCCAAGTCATTTTTAAAACCTTCCTGATCGCTTGATCGTGATCTCTCATTCTGAACCTGGAAGCCGTAACCCTAAAACTTTGAAACCGGAATCTACTAGGAGGGTCATGGGGACCTAGTAAACAGGTTCATAATGTGGATACTAGGGTTGTTATATGTTTTTTATAGGGCTTATTAACATGCTGACTAAATCCTCCTGACCCTCCAAGTAAGGTTCATGATGGACCTAGATCAAAACCCCTTGGCAGTTGCAGATGCATTGTTAAGCTCTTGTGCCCTAGGACCGGTTTGAACCTCAGCTTTCCTTGAAGATTCCAATTCCGGCCGACAGGCTTAACCCACAGGCTTAAATGGTGGAGAGCTTTGCCACCTCTACTTCGATGTTCATATCTACAAGTAAGAGAAATTGAGGATTACCTGATTACCTTCTAAACCCTAAACCCCTACCTCCAGCCCGCAGTGGAAAAGTTGCTAAGGTTGATGTGGAATCCTGCTAAGCGTCCCTGAGCTCCTCCTTGGTAATTACCAAGGTTTATAGTCCCCTTTGATTATATAGAATATAGGGTTTGGGGTTTAGGCCTAGAGTGCCCCTTAAGTAGATGGAATATATGGGGGATATATTGGGAGAATGGAACAGAAATTTGAAACTACTATTTAGGGTTTAGGGTTTAGGGTATAGTCCCCCTTAAGTAGATAGAATGTGGGGGAAATGGGGATGTTATTTGAATATTGGTCAATTCCATATTCTATTTACTTCATGGGGACTATACACGCGATTGCTAGCATTATTGTGAAGCCAGGCTGCTTGAGTTCGCGCACCGAACTCCACGTGGCGGGTCTTATGGGAGATGTAAATAACATGGATAACTTGGCTTATTACGTGGCTTTCAGGGGTTATTGACCTGCTTAGTAGCTTCCATCTCATTGTCCATTTCTTTTTCCGTTTGATGCCCTACTGTTAACCTACGTATAAGTCCCCCATAAGACCCTCCAGGTACTCCCCAGGTCCTGCATCTTCCCAAGACTCACCGCCCAAAGGATGCCTCGAGTAGACCGCATAATGATATTCAAACTTAAGCCCTAAACCCCTAACCTCTAAACCCTAACCCCTAAACCCCTAATCCCTAGACCCCGAATCCCTAAACCCTAATCCCTAAACCCCTAAACCCCTATTTAGGCCCCTGCGGTAGGCATCAGCGCCTGTGATCGTGGAGGCGTGTGGCAGAAAGCTCTGGGCCGCTACCTCAGGTGTTTTGCATTGTTGTGAAGATCTTAGTTTCCATTTCATTTTCCATTATTCCAATATAACCCCAATATTATTGTTATTCAGTTTAGCTTCCCAGTACCTGGAAACTAAGGGAACCCGTTCATGAGGACTTAGTGAGTAGGTTTGGAAAGGGGCTCTGGGCAGGCTAGCAGCCCTGATCAGGGGATTCATAACCTTACTTGTAACGTACTCACTCCGTCCCCTGTGCTTTCAAGTACAGTTGAGGGACATGACCCCAGGAACTTTTAGCAGATGAACCCCTGTATCATGCTTTAGCACAATCTCCACTTGGCGCGTGCAGGAAAACCTCAACTTGCAACCACCGCATGGCTGACCCTAAACTAGGGTTTAGGTTGGGTCATTCCCCCTCGCAGCAACTGTCCTTAAAGTGGCCTTATCGAGGGGGTTCTTATGACTCCTATAACCGATTGGGGAATGACCCAAGGTTTAGGGTTTAGGGTTGAGGGTTTAGACCCAGAACCTTGAGCTTAGAGCCCTGAGTCCCTGAGACCAGAGCTATCTTTATTTGATAGTTGATCCACATCCCTGGTCCCAAAATGGCCATTATGGAAACTACATTTTTTCCTTATATATCACCTTATAAACCTATAGGAACCCTAAAACAAATCCCCACAGGACCTTCAGATCAACGCCCCCATTTGCCTCAAACCTAAGGTCTGGACAAGCCAAAGGCCCCTGTCCCAAATCTTCAAACCTGAACGCGTCAGGTGCACATCGCTGAACCCCAAAGCCCCTAAAACCCAACAATCCAAAACCCTAAACCCTGACACCCATAGCCAACACTCCAAACCCTAAACCCATAAACAAATGCTGGTCAAGCTATATCCAGGATGTAAGCTGCATTATCTAATAGCCATCATCGTAGTGTGTATCTATGCTCAACCTTGATAGGCGATGAAAGAATGAAACATAGGCGTTACTCTTGGGAGTTGCATAGGGGCTACTAGGTATCGCTCCAAACCCTAGGCCCTAAACCCTAAATCCTAAACCTTAAGCCCCCAACTCCATAACCACAAGCCCAAATCCTTAAGCCTTAAATCCCAAACCCTGAATCCCAAACCCTAAACCTTAAGCAAGCCCAAAACCCACACCCCGAATCCCAACCCAAATCCCAAAACCAAAGGCCCAAAGTCCAAAGCTCTAAACCCTAAACCCCCAAACCCTAAACCCCAAACCCCCAAACCCTAAACCCCTAAACCCCTAAACCCTAAACCCTTAGCTGAGGCCTCCTGAGGCTACGAGGCCTGCGCTGCGACGAAGTTGGCCTGGGTGCAGCGCAGAGCGCCGTCGGGACTTGGATGGGAGGGCATCAACATCTTGGGTTTGGGGCTTAGGGTTTAGGGATAAGGGTGAGTTGTGGACTGGATTCCCAAAATTAGGGGTGCCTTTCTGGAGGTTCTCACAGCAAGGATTAGAGAATCTTGGAGTCTGAATTGGGGTCCTCTCATTTTGGGAAACTACCACATGGGTTGTGCATTGGATATAGGCGTTTTCCCAAAATCAGGGGTTAGGTTTTCCCAAAATCAGGGGTACCTTTTGAAGGGGTTATATGGGCTAAATAGGGTTGTGTAGGGTTTATGTGGGGCTGAGGTTTTCCGACTAGACAGAATTTTTGCGTCTAGTTTTGGACCGCCTCATTTATGGAAACTACCACGTAGGCTGTTATATAGGATGTGATGAATTTCAGAATGGAGTAACCCTACGCCCTTAACCCGAAAAACCAGAAACCCTAAACCCTAAACCCTAATCACCAGAAACCCTAAACCCTAAACACCAGAAACCCCAAACCCCAAACACCAGAAACCCTACCCCCTAAACACCAGAAACCCTAAACCCTAGACACCAGAAACCCTAAACCCTAAACCCTAAACCCCAAACCGTATTCTCAGACTTCTGGTCTGACCATTTTGGTGTCTGGTTTTGGGCTTCCAAATTTGCTCTGAACCCGATCCTTCCTGAGCTGCTGGATCATGAGACCAGTGGCATCCTAAGCCTTATAAGCCCTAAGTCCTAAATCACGAAACCCTCCCAAAGCCTAGATGGAGGTGTCCCAAAATTAGGGGTACTTTTTTGGGGGCTGCCTGTAATAAGGCTTATAGTATATTGGGGTCTTATTAGGGTCTTCCTATCTTGAGAAACTACCACATTCTACACCCTGAGCCCTAAACCGTAAAACTTACACCCTCAAGCCTAAACTCTAAGCCGTGTCATGCTGAGAGGAAGTGTGGCGACTGGGCTTCAGCTGTGGCCCTCTTGTGCGAAGGTGGAGAGCCAGCACTAGGGGCTTGAAGGTTTCGGGTTTAGGGTTTAGGAATGGGGTAAACCCTAAACCCTAAAAAGGGATCAGCGCTATGAGTTTGAATAGTTTTGATGGCTGGTACAAGAGGGGTTCCTTTGGGTTTACGGATTTGCCTGCACTGATCAAGCTGAAAACAACATAAAACGGTCGTAGGGTGATTTCGCAAGGTTTTGGATTTCCAGAAATTAGGGGCCCATTTTTCGGGAGTCCCCCTAAGAAGGATTATTGAATTATGGTTGTAGTATATTGGGGTTCCACTATTTGTGGAAACCCCATGTCTCAGTGTTATTAGAATCTCTTTCTTGTGAGCTTTTTTCATTACACCTGTCCCGTTGTTCATCTTTGTAGTGGCGACTATCAGTTTCAGGTTTCTCGAATCATCTCGGTTATTGCATAGGACGCTGCGTTTCCTTTGTTTGACTTGGAGAGGACTGTGTCCTGACGTGGTTGCCTTCCCACTTTTTGTAGCTCCTCTGGGCAAGGACACCATCCAATTCGCAACATCTGTGAAAGTGTTACAACGACAAAGGCATCCCAGCAGGATTTTAAGCAGTCTTCCTTCTGGTCCCCTAGTATGGCACCGCAATTGCTCACAATATTGCAGTACCACACTCACTAGAGGGTTTTCAAGGTTAAGTGGCTTCTCCATCTCAAGTAGGCCAGCAAGTTTGTGGTGCTATCTGATGAAGGCTGTGCTGGGGTGTCGGGTCTTGGGGTGACTTAGATTGCGGAACTTTCACTTCATCGGACAAAGCCCTGCCATCAGCCCTTGGATTTTGGTGTGCTGTGTTTTCAGATCCTACCATTGCTGCTATAAATCCTCCATGACCTCAATATACCAGAGTTTCCAAGGTGCCAGGTACTTAGGGTCATGCAGGATTGTTAGTCTTCATTGTAGTTTGTTTGCACGCCTGTCCTAAACCCTAAACCCTAAACCTCATAGTCAGCGTTGTTGCCTGCACGCTCCACTTGAGGCCGTTTGTCTGCCTTGAGGGTAACGGAAGTGCTGCTTGGCCGAATGTAGACAAATGACTAATTAAAAAACACTTCCGTTTAAGGGCCTTAATATTAGGATCCCTATTATAATCCCTATTAAGGGGAGGGGGTTTATTGGGGTAAGAGAGCCTGCGAAAGTGCAGGGCCGTTTCAAGGAGAAGGTTTGACATGAAGTCGACAATTTGGCACACATGCTCCTGTGGTGATGTCGGTGTTGATCTGCAGAGTGCCTATGGATGTGAACCCATGAAACTTATTTATGCAAGTTATTTGCCATTCCGACCCTAAACCCTAAACCCAGAACCATATCTAAAGTTCGAGTGCTTCTCCTCCTGAGCTCAAAGCTTTGAAGCAAAGTTGCTGAGGAAGCCGATGTGATTAACCCTACTTGGAGGGCTCGGGTTCAGGGCGTAGGGTTTAGAGCCAGGGGTCTTTAGTAAGTAGGTCGATAATGGGGATAACTAGGGCTACTATGTTGGTTACAGGGCTTTTTAACCTACTCACTAAGTCCCCCTGACCCTGCAAGTAAACCCTTTCTCATTGGGCTTTATGCATTTTGGAGTCGCCAGACCTTCTCAGGTCATTTGCGGCTGCGCTAGCTTCCGGCCGAGAAGTCTGGAAGGCAACTTTGCTTGCATGCGAGCTATAGTCCAAACTCCTTCAAGGGGGGTTGTATACGGCATTATATAGGCTATTAAGGGGGATACTAGGAGTTTAGACTATAGCTCATGTGGCCGTGTTGCTTTCAACGGTGTGGGACCTTTCTACCACCAATGCAGAAAGACTCAGAGGATCCTGCATGACCCCCAGTACCGTATGCCCAGGGAATTAAGGTATTATGTTCTACTAGAGTCATGCATGAGTGTTAGTATCCATACTAGTTTCCAATTCATTTTACATTGAATTTTTCATTTAGTTCTCCATTATTGGGAAACATGGTGCGCCCCATCTCAACTCTTGAGACTTACTGTTGCGATTGTGAGCACCTGCAGCAGAGAGACTAAGAGAGGCTTAGCCAAAACGCTAAGGGTCTCCCACCTTGAGACGTTGTAGCCCTGCGGTGGACCCCTTACCCAGTAATATGACTACAAGGGACAGTGGGATCATGGTTATTATGTCGGCGTCCCTCATATTCCTATTATACCACTATTACAGGGTGCGGGCCCACCTAACGTAAAAAGAATAGCAATCAGAGTTAATAACAACAATTTGCAGTAATAATAGCAATAATAAGTGGAATAGAAGAAATAATTTCATCAAGTAGCCCAATGATGCCACCAACCCTTTAAGCCATTGAAACCCATGAGCTCAAGCGCAAGATCTTGAAGCACCGACGTGAAAATTTTCGTTCAAAATTGCTACAGCTGTACTCTGAAACCTGAACGCGGAATCCCCATATAGCTTTAGGGCTCAGGGGTGAAGGTTTAGGATGTATAAGTTCAATCTAAAACTCGAAATCCCAGACTCTAACATCCCTAACATAATAATAGCAATAGTAGTAATAAGAGTAATAAAAGTAAGAAGAGTAACATTAGTAATGATAGTAATACTAGTTATAATTGTAATAGCAGAAATACTAGCAATATTAGTAAGAATAGCAAAAATAATATTCAAGACTGTACTGTAGATCCCTGACAGGTCGCTGTGTCATTGCAGGGCTGGGCTGCGAAGCAAAGCCTGGAGGCCTCTCTGGTATGTTTCTCTCGCCTTTTTTGTTGTGCTCCTTTTCAGTGTGATTGTTATCGCTATGAGTATTATGACTATCATTCTTAGTGGTTTTGATGATCGTTTTATCCCGGCAACAGGGCGCGATATCGTGTTCGCGTAGCAGCTAGGTATTGCCCGTACATTTGCGTGGTTTGCACCCCCATGGACGTGGTTGAGAATTTTTTGGACGGATCCTGGACTGCTTTTAAAACCGCTCTTTCAGTGGTGTTCAGGTGCTCTTCGGCGTTCTTGGGGAGTGGAGCTGTTGCAGGCTTACGGTGCTGCTGTAGTGCTCTTGGAGTGCCTTTCGTGATCCTGCTATGTATCTCCAGGACTACAAATATCACCTGTTCTGTTGAGGTATGACCGTTGTTATTGTTGTCAAAATTAGATGTCCAGTGTCAGTTGAAAATGAGCACCAAGTTGTTAGATGTCCAGTGTCAGTTGAAAATGAGCACCAAGTTGTATTTGCACTGGAAACACTTTAAATCGGAGAAAGTCCAAATTGCCCCAACTGGGGTACACGACACTAGAAACCATGCTTAGGCTACCTGCTACCGCCAAGTAGGAGACAGTTGGATGTTCAGCAAGCCTGGCCCCAGGGTTTGGAGGGATGTTCTACTTGGCGCGGAACTATGAAACCTGAGAGGACTCGAAGAGAAAACCCTAAACCTTAAGCCCGAAAGTAGATGGTAGTTTGCCAAAATCGGGGGACCCCAATAGAAACCCCAAAATATTACCTCCAAAAAAGTACCCCAAATTTTGGGAAACCCCGAGGTTCGTTTTGGGCCCCAGAAGGTTTCCTGGAGGAAGGTAGGTTCTAGGAGCCTTGCATAGGTCGGTGCCCTAGCCCGCCTGGCACTGCAGCTGGGACTTTGAGTTTGGGAAGGTAGCGGATTTTCCCAGGGCTGGGCAGACCTTTTGCCAGAAGTTCCAGAAGTGCCTGGAGACATCTATAGCCGCCCTTAAGTAGATAGAATATCGGGGAGCCGGGGATCTTATTATAATGTGGGGCAACTCCATATTCTATTTACTTAAGGGGGACTATACCCTATACCCTAAACCCAAAATAGTAGTTTCCATTTTCTTTCCATTATCCCAATATATCCCCTATATATTCTATCTGCTTAAGGAGACTATATTAGCGGACACTGCGGCTCTCAGGACTAACCGCTCTCAGGATTTCTTTTCGGATTCCGCCCCTACTGCGTCTTTAGCTTAAGTGCCGACCTTGCGCAAGCGATTCCTCCATGTTTGGAAGCTCCCAAATTTTGGGGCTTTGGAGTTTAGGGTATAGGGGTTTAGGGTTAAGGGCTTCTTGAACGCACAGAGGGGCATGAAATGTCAAAGGAAGTGGCCGCGTGTTGCTTCAGCGCTTCAGAAGATAATTTTATGACCTTTGACTTTCTTAATGGTCTCCTCTGAAAACCCGGGCTGGCACACCATCTGGGCCTCTCATGCTGCCTGCGCAGTGTTTGTTGCATGCAACGTTGCACTCCTTCTAAGTCTCGCGCCACTGCAATAAATCCTCGGTCAAACGTGTTTCGGCATTAGGCCCCTACCACGTCGTGGTCATGCGTTTAAAGTCAAGCCCAAGAGCCCAGAACCAAGCATGTATTCAAAGCGCTGTGCCCCAGTACTGTTCGTCCAATTGTTGTGGCTTATTCGCCCGTGTCTAGGGACATGGATGCGGGCCGAGAACAAGCTTCGGAACGGCAAACCTGATTACTAGACCGTAGGAGTCAATAACTCTGCGACTTGCACCCCACATTTCTGACGGGCAGAAAATTCTAGCTGCATGTCTCAAAGTTAGATGCATGTGGGGCTGCACGAACACCAAGAAAAGGAGTCATTGAAGGCAGTCGAGAGTGATGAGGCTTCGAGGGCCTTTTAATTGCTCAGGGTTTGTGAGCTAATTACTCCTGTCAACCGTTTCATATGGTAGTACGGTTGAAGCATTCATGTCTGCCGCAGGTTAACGCCTGCCCTTCACTGCATCCCATATGTTAGCAGATGCATGCTCCAGGAAATACCGTTGAGAACTTGCGGCCACGCCGTTGCAAAGTAGTGCGTGGTGGGCAAGGGACCAGCAATGCTATTGCGACCTGCAAAATTGTACCCCAAAACCTGGGGAAACCCCAATTTTGAGCCATACAGTCTTCAGACACTGGAGAATTCCAAGCGCAGATGGCTTACAGGAAGCATTATCAGATCTCCTGGAACTCTTGGCCTTTATAGCTAGCTCAGCTACCGGTCTAGTCAGTAGTCAGGGGTGCATGAAGGGTCAGGGGGACTTACATGAGCTATAGTCTAAACTCCTTTAGGGGGGGTTATATAGGGGACTATATAGGGGACTACTATAGGCTATAGGGATGATTAAAGGGGATACTAGGAGTTTAGATTGTAACTCATATAGTAAGTACTATACTGACTCAATTTCCCTGCCCCTGCAGTAAACTAACAAACCATCATTCATCTAGTTATCTCCTTTATCAACCTGCTTAGTAAGTTTCACTGACCCTCCAAGTGAACCAAACACCCGCTGATAAGCCCTGTGCTACTAATCCCTGTAGCCTCCATATCAACCAGGCCTCCACTTCATTTTCCAAATGCTTCTCCACTTGCTTCTCCATTGTAGCGGACAATACTTCTATCCCGAATCCAACAATAAGCCCTGAGCCCTTAGACCTCAGCCCTAAACTCCAAACCCCGCACCCTATAGATGAATATATGGGTTGTTCTCGAAATTATGGGCACCTTTCTGTTCTAGATTCTATTACAGCACCTGATATCTAGGGGTAGCAACATGGGACCCTAATTTTTGGAAACCACCCAGATGTCTCAACGAAAGCAAGGCTTGCCGCCACGGGTGCCGCGGGGGTGTGGACCCACGCCTTGGCTTTGTGGCCTACCTCCCTAGGCCCTTTGCTTCACAGCCAGGTTAGGGTTTAGGGGTTGGTGTTTATGGGGAGTAAGGGCTTAGGGTATGGGCGCTTAAGATGTAGGGCTTGGGGTTTAGGACGGTTTCAGGTTTAGGGTTCAGAGCTAAGTATGATGTTCGAATCTGAGAATTGGGCAGCCTTCATTGGAAGCATAGCTTCAATAACCTTCAGAAGCAAGCTGAAGCTAGCTTTCGCCTTTAGGTTGTCAACCTACTTCATGGGAAACCGGTCATGTCCAAGATTTATAGTTGTTTATTTCGCGGAGATTAAGCCGCATAAGCTTAAGTCTAGACGTCCCAGAAGTTAGATGGCCATTGGACATATTCTAGATCCGAAAATCACCCACAAAAGTTGGAGCTCGAAGAGACTTCGATTTCATTTCGCGCGCACAAACCCTAAACTTTCTTAGGGCCTTAGCTCTAACCCAGTCCCCTTCCCCCTTGCTTGGAGGTTCCGGGGCAGTTACACTTGGGGCATAAGACAACTATTTTGATGGCATTGGTTGGAATGGTTGTATCCTGGTGACCCCTTAGACCCTGAAACCCCAACCCCAAACCCTAAACCCCCAACCCCGAACCCTAAACCCTAAACCCCAAACGCAAACCCTCAACCCTAAACCCTAAAAACCCTAAACCCTAAACCCCAAACCCCAAAACCCAAACCCTCAACCCTACACCCCAAACCCCAAACCCTAAACCCTACACCCCAAACCCTAAGCCTGAAGCCTCGCCTGAGTATCCTGATGCTCCCTTCCTTAAAGGGACTCTACTGGGAACCCCAAGAATATAGTAGGAATATAATGGTATATAAGGACCCTGGTAGGTATATTCCTATTATATACCTACTATATTCTTGGGGTTCCCAGTTTGGGGTTCCCAGTTTGGGGTTCCCAGTTTGGGGTTCCTTTATTCCTGTGGCAGGCCCCGCAGGCGACACGGCACTTCGCAGTTCGAACGCGGCCATTTCGCCTCTGGGCTCATTTCTGACGACTCATTCGGGTTTAGGGTTTAGGGTTTGAGGTTTAGGGTGCATGGAGATGAGGGTTTAGGGTGTACGGAGATTAGGGTTTAGGGTTTAGGATTTAGGGCTTAGGCTTTGAGATTCAGGGTTGAGGGTTCAGGGCTTAGGGTTGAGGGGTAACAGGGGCTGAGTGATCAGCAGCTGCTGTCATGATTGCCAATCATACAGTTCCAGTGGCATTATCACAGACCTTCTGCAACTGAGAGATGCTATACCTTGGGTTTAGGGTTTAACGTTTTGGGTTGAAGCTTAGGGTTTAGGGTTGTAATGGACCTTAACATAATTTTTATTGTCCCTTAGTACTGGGTGAGGGGTCCACCTAAGCTATACCGGTTTGCTGTTAAGGAGCTTAACTTAAGTTCCTTTACTGAAACCCAGTACATGGTTCCCATGCTCAAAATCTTTTATTGCATCTGTTCAGGCTCCCACACCGGCCTGGACCACATTTCAATCATAAAGGCTGCAAAATAGTAGTTTCCCTACATAAAGGGACCCTCATATAGACCTCCAAAATATTGGAATCCTTATTATAGGGACGCCCCAAAAAGTCAGATTTTTAGAACACCCTAAACCTTATACAACCCAATGAAGCCCCTGCAAAGGGACCGCCACATAAGGTACCCCTCATTTTGGAAAACTGCAAAACTGCGCATCTTAGGGCCTGCGCTCTGTCGGTGGCCTGGCGCTGGGCCGTCCGACTTCTGGGCGAGGCCTTCCCTGGGGCCCTAGGGTGTAGGGTTTAGGGTTTAGGGTTTAGGGGGTGTAGGGTTAAGGGTGTAGGGTTTAGGATCTAGGAGTTTCGGATTTCTTCTGGGTAGGGCCTGCAAAGTGGGATTAGGTCTAGGATTCAGGCTCGTGAAGGGTTCGTGGTTATCCTTGCAGATGGATGCCCTCATTTGCACTTTCCAAACGGACCTCAAAATGAAGGGCAAACTTTGTCGTAGATAGTCAAAACAGAAATACCCACAAGAAAACGGTTCCATGGGTTTAGGGCTTCGAGTTTTGTAAAGGTCTGTCAGTTTTTGCGGCTCGGGGTTGGCTGTGCCCCGGCAGCCTGCAGGACATGAGTACGGTTCGCGACTTCCGGATAGAGTCGGTCAGGAATCCCTACCCCCATATGAGCTATAATGAAAGCTCCTTGAAGGGGGGTATATAAGGGCTTATCTAAAGGAGTGTTATAGGGGTCATTAAGGGGCTGCTAGGAGTTTAGATTATGGCTCATAACAAGCCCTAAACCTCAAACCCTAATATCTGTGTGGTACTATTGCCTTTCCATACCCCCCGCAAGCTCAGAACGTCCTCCTCCCCTTGATTGGCCCATGAGGTCGGAAAGTCGAGGTTGGTGCAGACAGCCATCACACAGCTACTTTGCTGCAGGTTAGGTGTGCAGTCACAGCATTTGGAGGCACATGAAAATACGGAATTGAAATCTAATAGTTTAAGTCGTTGCCAATCACAACCACAATGTCCTTCTATCAAAGGCATATGGTTTAGGGTTTAGGGTTTAGTCAAGGACAATCAAGGACATGTTGTGCGAGACCTGGTGCAGGGTTACACTGTTCATAGAAGCCATCAACACGGGCCGTCTCCACGTGGGGCTTATGTAGAAAGTTGAGTTCTCCCTACGAACCTTGTATTACGGCCCCTATGCGAGCTAGAGTCTAAACTCCTTAGAGGGGGTTGTATAGGGGCTTATACAGATTATCATAGAGGCTATCAAGGGGGATACAAGGAGTTTAGACTATAGCTCATGTAGAGATTTGAGTTCTTCCTACGAACTTTCTGTTACAGTCCTTCTGCAAGTGTAGTATACTATATGTTTCATCTGCTTCAAGACCCTGCTTGGAGGGTCAAGGCGACTTCGCAAGTAGGTGAATCATCCCTCTGAGCCATATGGGCTATAGTCTAAACTGCTTAAAAGGAGGTGGTTTAGGGACTATGTAGGCAACTACCTGAGGAGACATTAATGGGGATGCTAGGAGTTTAGGCTATGGCTCCTATAGTCACCCTGGTTATACCCGTTATTAACCTACTTACTAAGTCCATCTGACCCTAAACCCTAATCCCTAAATTTTATCGACTTACGAAGCCCTCCTGACCCTCCCAGTGTTCTAAGGAAATTTCAGGTGGGTAGTTTCCCCGAAAGTAAGGGTACCCACCCGGTAGCCATCCACTTGGACCTTCCCTCAAAGTGTCCTGATCATTTAGGACCCTGGTTTGCACCAGACACTTTAAGCAAAGGCACCATGAGCTTAAATTCGATTACTTGTATACTCGTGGTATCGGGTACCTCAAATAGACCTCAACATGATGTTGGTCATTGTTTAGGCCCCTGCAGTATAGTTTTTGCTGACCATATGCTCTAACGAACACCGAACATAAATTTCCGCGGAGGGTTCCAGAGCAGATTCTGGCAATTTGGCCACAAAGCCTTTTCCACTAGCAGTGGGAGTGATGGTCTGAGATCAGCTTTCATGTCCTAGTGAGTACTCGAAGGGTCAGGGGCACGTAGCAAGTAGGTAAATCACCTCCATAAGCCAGTAATCCTCATGATCCCCCTGGTTAACCTATTTCCAACATCCTCCTGCCCTAGGCCCCAAACCCGTCAGCGCAGGATGAGTAGAAATGATAAAGGGAATCCACAGCAAAAGCAGAACAAGAACGCCCAGAAGTCATTTAAAAGTCGGTGAAAAACTCCTGACACGAACCCAGTACAATTTCCACAAATCCTACCGAAGCCTGGCTTACAGCAGTTTGCAGGGGAGCTTCAAGATGAGAACCAAAGTCATAGCGCCAGGAAGGAGAATCAGATGCAAAGGAACATGCCAGGTTTAAGGGGTTTATAGGTTGGGGAAGAATGGCAAATCAAATGGAATAGACGATGGAACAGGTGTAGGGTTTGAGGGTTCTGCCTCCTAGAAGGAGCAAAAGTAAGTGGAAGCTACTATTCAGGGTTGGGGTTTAGAGTTTAGGGCCCAGTGGGCTCCCATCGTGCATGACTGATCGTGCCCTCCTCAAGCGATTCAGATATACCTCGGGTTAGCAAGCAACTCAGGGATGGATCCATGTAGTGGTTCCAAGAGAACCCCAAATAACATAGTAGCTTCGGTTTTCTTTTGCATTCCTTCGTTCCCTGCTAACCAGAGGTAGTCAGGATGCCTGAGCAAAGTTGCCGTATGTGTATGAGAACGCTTGTCAAGATTGTTTTGTTGAAGACGGAGGCTTGGTTCCCCTTGAAGCAGAACTCCAAACCTTGGCAAGTTCATGCTCCTTCCCACGGTGGATACTAAAAAACCTGCATGATCCTAGGTACCTAAAGCCTTGGAAATTACGGTATTCTAGTGTTCTATGGTCATGCAGGATGTTTTGTATCAACAGTACACCAGAAACCTTTTGTACCTTAAGCCCTAAACCTTGGACACAAACCATCCCAGGCAAGGGGCGCTCACGGCGTTTGAGGCATCTGGCCAGCGACAGCAAGCGCTGCTTGTCCTGGAGGCAGGGTTCATAGGGTTTAGGGCTTCTGTTGCCCGTATGTTTTGAGATTGCTCTGTTACTAGTACCTGGCACAAGTCATAATGGGACTTGAGCTACCCAAACCCCTAGAACTACTGTGGATGGAGGAAATCTTGCACCGCTTTTACAACGTAGATTCTTTACAGCCCCGTACCCCCTTCTTAACATTGGCATTGAAAACCTCCTAAAACAAATTTGTTCCAATGACGGAAATCTTGCACCGCCTCAGACAGAACAGTTGCCAATGTTAAAAAGGGGGTACGGGGATGCGTCGTCAAGTCA